CCTCTTGGTAACCACACACACACACACAAAAAAAAATCTAGAGGAGAGACAAGAAACATAAAACAAGATAAAACTGAGCAAAACATCATAGAAAACTACAAAACTAAAATGGCACACACACAAAATAAGGAAAGAGAAACAGGGTAGCTATAGAGCAATAAGAAATACAAAAGATAAAATGGCAGTTAGTAAGTCCTCATATATCAAAAATTGCCCTAAGTGTAAATGGTTAGAACTCACCCATAAAATGGCCTAAAGTGGCTGGATGGATTATAAAACAAGAACCCAACTATATGCTGCCTTCAGAAGACTCATCTCAGCTTGAAAGACAAACATAGGCTCAAAGTGAATGATGGAAGATGATCCTCTAAACATATGGCAGCCAAAAGAAAGTGGATGTATCCATATTTATCAAAGAAAGCCAAAAAACATTTAAAAAAATTCAAAGATGGGCATCATATAATGATAAATGGGTCACTCCATCAAGAAGACATAATATTTATTAATATGTATGTACCCAATTTAGGAGTAACAAAATATAAAAAGCAACTATTAGCAGACTAAAAGGGAGAAACTGACAGCAACACAATAATAAGAGGGGCCTTTAACACCCCATTTACATCAATGGATAGATCATCCAAAGTAAAAAAGAAAACCTCAGCCTTAAATGACAAATTAAAAAGAACTTAATAAACATGTATAGAATATTCTATCCAAAAAGTAGCATAATATATAATTTTCTCAAATGCACATAGAACATTCTTAGGATAGACTATATGTTAAAACATAAAACAAGGCTCAATAAATTTGAGAAGGCTAAAATCATATCAAGCATCTTTTCCAATGACAACGATATGAAAACGGAAATCAATTACAAGAAGCAAACTGAAAAAAGAAATCACAAACAGATTAATATTAAACAACATCCTATGGAAAAAAATATTGGTTCAAGGAAGAAATCAAAGCAAATGGAGAGTAAAAAGACAATAGAAAAAATCAATGAAATTAGAACTTTTTTTTAAAAAAAAACAAAAAAGAGAAACAAAATGATAAACTTTTAGCTAGACTCACTAAGAAAAAAAGACAGAAGGCTCAAATAAATAAAAATCAGAAACAAAAGAGAAGTTACAACACATACTAAACAAATACAAAGAATCATAGTTGATTTCTATAAAGAGATGTAAGCAAACAGATTAGGAAAATCTAGAGAAAATGGATAAATTCTTAGAATCATACAAGCTCCCTAGACTGGATTATGAAGAAATAGAAAATTTGAATAGACAAATCTCTAGTAAGGAGATTAACACAGCAATCAAAAGCCTCCAAGGAAACGAAGTCTAGGACCAGTGGCTTCATTGGTGAATTCTACGAAGCAACCAAAGAAGATTTAATACCAATCCTTAAACTCTTCCAAAAAACTGAAGAAAAGGGAATGCTTTCTAAATTCATTTTATGTGGTCAACATTACTCTGATACCAAAACCAGAAAAGGACAACACACAAGAAAAATTACAAGGCATTATCTCTGATGAACACAGATGCAAAAGTTCTTAACAAAATATTAGCAAACTAAATATAACAATACACTAAAAGGAACACTAGGGATTATTCCAGGATGGTTCAACATCCACAAATCAATCAACATGATACACCACATTAACAAAATGAAGAATCAAAATCATATGATCATCTCAGCAGATGCAGAAAAAGCACATGACAAGATCCAATATCCATTTATAATAAAAAAAATCTCAATAAAATGGAATAAGAAGGTAAGTATCTCAAGATAATAAAGGCCATATATGACAAACCAAGAACTAACATCCTATTCAATGGTGAAAAACTGAAAGCTTTTCCTCTAAGATCAGGAAGAAGATGGTGTGCATTCTTGCCACTTCTATTCAAAATAGAATTGCCAGAGCAATCAGGCAAGAAAAAGAAATAAAAGGCATCTGAATTGGAAAGGAAGAAGTGAAAATGCCACTATATATAGATGACATAATTTTATATATAGAAAATCCTAAAGACTCCACCAAGCTATTAAAAATAATAAATGAATATAGTAAAATTGCAGGATACAAAATCAATATACAAAAACCTGTTATGTTTTGGTCTGGCCAAGTGACTCGTTGGTTAAGAGTTGGCTTGGGATACCAGCTCTGAGCAGCAGGGCCGCCGGTTCGGATTCCACATGGGCCAGTGATGCTGTGCCCTCTACAGCTAAGATAGTGTACAATGGCTTGACCTGGGGCTGGGCTGCTGTGAGTCACTGGCGACAGTGTAGACTGTGGTGGAGCTGCAGTGGGCTGCCATAAGCTACTGTGAGTGGTCAGCAGCCAGTATGAGTGGCCGGCAGCCAGCGTGAGCTGCCGTGAGCTGCTGTGAGCGGCTGTCCAACGGCTAGCGACCAATCTTCCTCAAGCCGGGAAAGAGCACAATGATCACAATACCAGCATGGGCCAGTGAAGCGATGTCCTCCACAACTAGACTGAAGAACAAAAGGACAGCAACTTGTCTGTTCCCCTCCCTGATTCCCCAATGCTGTTCCCTCCCCCAATTCTCCAATAAAATCTTTGAAAGAAAAAAAATCTGTTGTGTTTCTATATACTATCAGCTATTAGAAAAAGAAATTTTTCTTAAAAATCCCATTTATAATCGCAACAAAAAGAATAAAATACCTAGGAATAAATTTAACCAAGGAGCTGAAAGATCTGTACACTGAAAACCAAAAGACATTGTTGAAAGAAATTGAAGAGGAACAAATAAATGGAAAGATATTCCATGCTCATGGATTGAAAGAGTTAACAATGTTAAAATGATCTTATTACCTAAAGCAATCTACAGACTCAATGCAATCCCTATTAAAATCCCAATGGCATTTTTACAGAAATAGGACAAAAAAATCCTAAAATTTGTATGGAACCACAAAAAATCCTGAATAGCCAAAGCAATCCTGAGAAAAAAAGAAGAAAGCTGGAGATATCACTCACCTTGATTTCAAACTATACTCCAAAGCTATAGTAACCAAAACAGTATGGAATGGGTAGAGAAACAGACATATAAGTCAGTGGTACAGAATTGAGAGCACAGAAGTAAACCCACACATATATGGACAACTAATTTACGATAAAGGAGCCAAGAATATACAATGAGAAAGAAAATACTCTTCAAAAAATGATGTTGGGACAACTGGACAGCCATATGCTAACGAATAAAACTAGATCACTATCTTATACCATACATACATAATCAAAATGGATTAAAGACATGAACTTAAGTCATGAAACCATAAAATATACAGAAAAAAACATAGGTGGTGACTCTTTGAGATCAGTCTTAGTGATGCTTTTTGTGGATTTGACTCCAACAGCAAGGGAAACAAAAGCAAAAATAAACAAATGAGCCTATATGAAACTAAGAAGCTTCTGCACAGCAAGGAAAAGCATCAACAAAATGAAAAGGCAATCTACCAAATGGGAAAAGATATTTGCAAATCATACATCTGAGAAGGGGTTAATATCCAAACTATACAAAGAACTCATACCATTTAACAACAAAAAAGCAAACAATCTGGGTAGAGAATCTGAATATCTGTTCATTCAGATGGCCAACAGGAACATGAAAAGATGCTCAACATGACTAAATATTTGGGAAATGCAAATCAAAACCATAATCAACTACTGCCTTACACCTGTAAGAATGGCTATCATCAAAAAGATAAAAATTAGAGTGGAGGGGATGCAAAAAAAAAAAAAAAAAGAGAACCCTCATACACTACTTATGGGAATGCAAATTCATACAGCCACTATGGAAATACTATGAAGGTTCCTCAAAAGGTTAAGAATAAACTACCATATGATCCAGCTATTCTACTTCTGGGCAATTATCAGAAGAATATAAAAACACTAATTTGAAAAGATATGTGCACCTCTGTGTGCACTGCAGCAACCTAAGTGGCCATTAATGAATTAATGGATAAAATAGATATGATATGTACAGTTGACTACTGAATAACAAGCTTGAACTTCACATGTGCACTTATATGTGAATTTTTATCAATAAATATTGTAGATATATTTTCTCTTATGATTTTCTTAACATTTTTTCTAGCTTACTGTATTGTAATAATACAGTACATAATACATATAACATACAAAATATGTGTTAATTGACTGTTTATATTATCAGTAAAGGTTCCAGTCAACAGTAGGCTATTAGTAATTAAGGTTTGGGGGATTCAAAAGTTATACAAATTTTCAACTGTGCGGGTTATCAGTGACCCTAGTGCCCACACTGTTGAAAGGTTAAGTGTATATATTATACAATGGGCTACTACTCAGCCATAAAAAACATACAATCTTATCATTTGCATCAACATAGATGGGTCTTGAGGAGATTACGCTAAGTGAAATAAATCAGACAAAGAAAGACATATGACATATGATTTCACTCATGTGGAATAAAAAAAAGAACAAAACAAAAACATGCTCATACTAGAAGACAATGGATTGGTGGTTACTAGAGGGAAGGGAGGATGAAGGGAGGGCGAAATGAGTAAAGGGAGTCAATTGTAATGGTGATGGATGGAAATTGGACTTTTCGGTGGTGAGTACAATGTGGCATATACAGATGTTGAATTATAATGTTGTACACCTGAAACTTACATGCTATAAACCAATGTTACCTCAAAAAGAAAAATATGTAGAACTAGATCCTTTCTTCATGAGTGTAAAGTTAAACTGGAAATAATGTAGGTAATTTCTAGGTGTCTAGCAAGAAATTATTCAGTGTTGCTTTTTTGTTTACAGATGAGATTAATGTCGCTAGATACAACAATTAGAATATATAACTGTATCAGAAAAAATAACCTTAGCTAGATATTCCTAAATTACATGACAAAGGGCATTTTAAATAGTTTTCAATTTCATGTTGTTATGTGGAAGCTGGAAGCGAGTGCTTCAGTTTAGAAGCACACATTAAAACCCTTCAGGAGATACTTACCCTTTTCTGTTCTTTTACATACTCTATCAATTCATCTCTTGTTCTTTTCACTGCCTCTTCCACAGCCTTTTCACTTCGCTTCTGCTCTTCTATTATTGCTGCCTTAACAGTTTCCTGTTTGTGGGAGGAAGGAAAAAGTCAGGGAGGTATGCATCGTAACATTTTGTTCTCATTTTATATAAACTAAAAATCCTCTTCAATGGTTTGAGCTTATTCTGTTCAAAGCATATCTTTAAACAGGAATGAGAACTTACAAAATCTTCTGGAATCTGCTAGAGATTCCAGAGAATTCACTTTTCTACACTGAGGGAAAGGGAAAAGAAATGGAATAAGCCATTTATTGCAGGGAGCGCCCGACAGACTCCAATGGCTTCCTTACCAACCTTTCATTTGATGTTTACATGATTGATCACCTTCCTGTACTCTGCACTATCCACATAAGACTTCCAGCTTGTGTTTATTCTTCCAAGAACACCCTCATGCTTTAGCTGTTTTATTCACGTTTAATTTTCCCATCATACAATAATCAAGTGTGGTCTGGGTAGTAAGATTTACAGCTAGTTTGGTCGTCCTGCCAGGTTAAGATGTTGAGAGCTGGACACCATGAATAAGAGGTAAAAACTCCACCCTGTGTGCTAATATTTGAAAGGAGAAATCTAGGGAGAAAAGTGGTACTCCCCACTTTACTGAACTAGTAATCAGGTACCTAAGAGGTTTCAGAATTTCAGACAAGGAGAAGGGCGGCTAAATTTCTGGAAAAAATAAAAGTAGCACTTCTCAAGTAGTAGTAATATTTTCTGCTAAAATAGTGTTTCATAGATTGAATGAACACCACAAAACAAACTTCTTTAACTTCCATTTATCTATATACTCGTAGGTAGCATCCTTCTTTTGAATAGGCAATCAATTATAAAATGCCTTGAAATTTCTCAGGAGTATTTTTTTTTTCATTTTGTTATTCTTGAGGACGCTTCACTTTGTAGTGTAGATATGATTTTATTTAGTTTTTCCCAATTAATTTTAGATATGTATATATAACCAGAAAAAAGAAATATTAAGAATTTCCTATTCTGAATATATTTACTGTACAAAATCTGAAAATTCAGGAAAATGTGAACACAAAACAATACACACACACACACACACACACACACACACACACACACTTTGGTATAAAGAGGGGGATAGGGTTCAAACTGTATATACTATTTTCTAACTTGTCATTTTTCAGCTAAAATATATTTTGAATATTTTTAAGCCATTATATATTCTTTCATATTATGGTTTATATTCCATTACAGGGGTATATAATAATTTATTTTACCAATCCTTATTCATGAATATTCTGGTTGTTTTTAATAGAATAAAGCAGTGAGGAGCATCCATATATGTACATTTGTAATGAACGTTACATATTTCTTTAAGATCAATTCAAGAAGTAGAATAACTTTGGCTAAGGGATATAATTTTTGAGCTCTCTTATAGCTTTTGACCTTTTGTACAATTTTTTCCCCCATAAGCAGCCCATGAAAATGGCTGTTTTCTTGCATCCATAATTACATTTAGTCTTATCAGATTTTGGAATCTTTGCTTATTTGAGGGAGAAAAACACCTAATTTTATTCTGCATTTAAAAAAGGTTATTATATGATATTCAACATTTTCATAGAAATATTACCAATATACATATTATTTATTAGTTGCTCGATCATGTTCTCTTTCCATTTTAATATTGGTATACTCATAATTTTTTGGATTTCTTCCCTAAGATATAAAATTAAGTCACAAATCTGAAAATTCCTATAATGGTGACTTTGAAAATTATTATTTTCAGTCACATTAAGCTTTAGTTCCAATTATAAAATAATAGAACGCTAAGTTGCTTCCATAATTATTTGAAAAGATTAAAGTTGAAAAACTATAGTAATTTTTAAAAGAAAAAAAATGAGGACAAATAAGATTATTTAAAATAAAAACATCTATTACAATACAATTCCTATTGGTTTCACACTTATTAATTTGGAATTTGAAATTTTTCAGATTTTAGAAGGGCAAACAATATAGCATATACATAAGGCCCCTGAAATACAACACATTAATAGTCCTGCAGTGAAGAATATGAACAGTCACACTAAGTGGGTAAATTAAAGTACAACCATCATATCAGTTCAGGTTACATTCTGTCAACAGACGGAGTTACAAAAATCCTTGGTTTGCAGGGTTTCTGGAATTTTAGAACTGCAGATAAGGATTGTAGACCTGAATCATTTGGATGTAGAAGATAAATCTGTCTCATATTTAACACCAATCAGAATTTCTATCTAGCAAGGGTCATATTGGTAAATTTGACCAGAACTTTTTGGTTGAAGGCAAAAGCATCAATTTAAATAAAGGGATATATCCAGAAAAATCACAAAGAGCTAGCTAATATGTTCTTGAGGCGACATATTTTAGGGATTGAGACTTTATATTATGTGCTCAGTCCACATTTTGGAGAATCTTCCTCTACCAATTTTTGAGCCAACCAAAACCCATTTACAGAAGTTTCCCTTGATTCTCCCCTCCCAGTTGGGAGTTACTGTATTTCCCCATGTATAAGATGCACCCTTTTTCGAAAAATTTGGGGTCTAAAAACTGGGTGTGTCTTATACAGTGGTTGTAGGTTTTCTACTTGCATTTCCCGCGTTTTCACGCTTGTTGTGTTTGTGATCATTGTTTCGCACTTGTTACCAGAATATTATGGTAGGTTACATTTTGCCATGTTCTGCCCAGAAATGGTTCAGAAAAGATTTTCATACAGTGCTGAATTCAAGTGAAAAGTGATCCAGTTTGCAAAAGTGAATGGAAATCGTGTTGCTGAACGTAAGTTTGGTCCTCCCCCAACTTAGAAAACAATCTGAGACTGGCTACGGGAAGAAGAAACCCTACTGAAAACGCCACGGCAGAAGAAGGCCATGAGAGGCAATATATGAAGACAGTGATTCGTCATCAGACACAGATGAGGACAAGCTAACGGTTAGGAGCTTTGACAGTGATGAGGAGTTGTATGGATTTTATGATGACTAAAACTTGAGTTCAATAACTTTATGTAATACATTTTTTTTCATAATTAAGGTACGTCTTATACATGGGAGCGTCTTATACATGGTGAAATATGGTAGATGACAGTCAAGGTTCTGAAGTTCACGCTAAAAAGTTTACTTATCAATAAACAAATGCCTTTGAATACGATACAAAAGAAAGGTTTAAGTCTTCCATTTTCCAATCAAACAAAATTCTGAATTAGTTGGAAATGATTAATGAATTTTGTGTGCATGTATACAAGTGCCTGTGAATATCTGCCTATATGTTTTATTGAGTTCCACAAATGAACTATACGTCCCTATGAGTCATGAGAATTAGTCCAAAATAAAATAAAATAAATCTCACAAGGAATGAAGGTTTGTCACAATGAGCATATTCAAACAGGCAATTCTGAAAGATTATTTTCTAGAATACTGTAGCAATGGACACAAAATAAGAGCATGGTATATTCTCTGAGGGTCAGTTTCTCACCCTTGGCTCTGTTGGCAATTCTTTGCTAGGGGTGGAGATGAGGTGTCGTGTGATAAAGAACACACCTGGCGTCTATGCACTAGATCACCTCCAGGTGAGAACCGCTGCTCTAAGTAACAGTTCAGAGTGAAAAACAACCATTTTCATATATTTTATGGTTTGTTAAAATACATCAGTTACATTTCTCATCACATTTTAAATATTCTTTATCTAAGAATATATGCAAGAAATCATATCCAAATTATTATATAACTAGTTTTTATGTGTGGAAGAAAGATATATATATATATATTTTTTTTTTAAATGAATGACTGGAATCATTTTCTATACTGTTATAATTAAATAAGTCATGATGAATGTTATTAGGGCTAAAAGCTTATGCGACATATTTGTACATGATTTTAGGATTTCTCTTTATTGCTTAAAAGTATAGTTATGCTTTGGTACCCATTACATCTACCATACATATCAGTAATCACAGGATCATGAACTAACAAATGCTCATTGGTTGTTTATTCTTTATCAGCGCAATTTAGTTAAGGATTGCAAACACAGTTATTTATGGAACAAATCTGAGTAATCAACTCAATTCTGGTCTGGGGGCTGTAAGTCATTGTATCAAAAATTTTCTGAGGCAACTGTGCTTTAATTATTTTTGTTTCTATACACAGTGTATGCATATTATCTAATTACGCATTATTTTAAAAGTTTCACGTGGTTTTGGAAATACACTTTAGATAATGAGCGTTTGAATCCTAAGTAAAGTCAAGCTGCTTTATACACTTCCTATGCATCAACAGTCAAAGAAAAAAAGTGCAACATCCATTACTATTCAAATTTATGAGCTCAAACTACAGTTCCACCAGTGCTTTACATATAGTGATGCAAGTACAAATAAAATTTCCATATTTCAAAGTCTATTTACTGTGCAACTGAGATGCTTTCATGTAACCTTTAACTGGAAGTAATTAATCTGCACTGTAATCACATGCTAAGTGGAAAACATTAACAGAACCTAATTCTGAAAATGCTTCTCAAGTGATAACTATGCTAATTAAAATCATATGCTCACTGATGTCAAACTTTGGCAGCACCTGTGTGAAAGACATTTTTAAAGGTGTAATACTATGCAGAATCTCATTCACATCAGCATAAATAGAGTATTTGCTACCATTTTTGATGATAGGGAAACCTAACTTTGAACCACAAATAAGCAAAATGTTATCCTCCCCAAAGCGAATTCTATCGTTCTCACTAGATCTATATCATACAAAAATTATTCTTATTACTGTATTTTGAATTTCATCCATAAAAATACTTGCAAAGATCTGTGGTTTTTTTTCTTCTTGTTATGTAAGCACCTACATAATATTCTCAAATAAGCCTCTTTGCCCATTTAGTCTAAAATATCTACTATCAGGCCTTTATAGAAAAAGCTTGCCAATCCCTGATTTAGGTCATGATTCTGTAAGTTGGCCATCTGGGCTGGGCTCAGCTGGACATTTCTTTTGATCTTGGCAGGGCTCTCATGTATCTGCTATCAACTGCTGGGGCTGATGT